CGGCGAGGACGAACGATGCCCTGCGGGCGCCAATTCTTAAAACTTTAATGTATTTATAGGTCGAGTCTGTATTTTCCATCTTGGCGTCTTTTGTTTGTCTTTTCGCATCAGGGTGTATCAGTAGTTGTTGATTTTGTATTATGTTATTCTCCCTTTTTCAAAAAATGTTAGTTTGTAATAGATTGTTTTAGTAATAAAAAAAATATTTCTTTATTTTTACACTTGTTTGTCTTTGAACTACGTAATGATCTGATTCACGCGGCGTCATGATACGTAGGCAATCCTCATCGAATCCGGTCACGTTTTTAACTTCAAATAATATATATATATATATATATATAATAAAAAAATATTAAAATAAAGGGGAGCATAAAGAGTAGCCGGAATGACGCATGTCATCGATGCAAACATGTAGAAATTCACTTAACTGTATAGGTGCATCACACCCCAACGTGAGATTACCTGTCTGTTATTTGTTTCAAACTAACCGTTTGCTTGCTGCTAAGTCCAGGTTTTTAGAAAGGTGGTTTGGTTTTGTGGAGGTCTGGCCTCACATTCATACTTTACGAGGTCGAAAGGAAGTGTTCAGCTGTCCGTCACTAAGTCGAGAGGAAGTATTCACACTTACTTCACGAGATCAAAGGGAAGTGTAGAGATGTCTTCAGAAATTCCTTTGCCAACGATTCCTATTTCCGAAGAGAGTTCAATCTCGGCCATCCCAACTTCCGAATCAGCAACTGCTGAAGAAAACAGAATCTTGCGGCTTCGCATGTTGGAAATGTTGGATGACTGGAACAATGGAAAAGAGCCGCCGAGTGTAATCCCTGGATTCCCCGAGCTGTTCTCTAGGACAAGTGGGACTTCCAACGTCCCCATAAGTTATCCAACTACCCCATTCGGGTATCCTACCATTTCAGCCCACTCCGCTGGATCACCCTCCGATTCTTATCCCCGGGTGTCAACGACAGATGTGGCTACAAACATATTCACTGCACCGCCCTGTCCAATTGCGGCACAACCCGCTATACACAGGCCTAATTTTGACTCTTCCTCATTCACATTTCAAGCACCATCCTTCTCGCTGGAACCAACTCGGTTTACCACCAGCGCTCACCCTCAGCAGCCTCAATGCGAGTTTACGCCTGGGCAAGACCGAAATCCCAAAGCTCCTGAACAAGATGAAATGGCGAGAAGAATGAGGAGCCTCGAGCAGAGCTTAAAAAATATGCAAGGCTTAAGCGGGCAGAAGAGTGTCTCCTATATTGATCTGTGCATGTTCCCTCACGTGCACCTGCCCGTAGGGTTCAAAACACCGAAGTTTGAGAAATATGATGGGCATGGCGATCCCATTGCTCACCTCAAAAAGTATTGCAACCAATTGCGTGGGGCTGGATACAAAGAAGAATTGTTGATGGCATACTTCGGAGAAAGTTTGGTGGGCATAGCCTCAGAGTGGTATATGGATCAGGACATATCTCGATGGCACATTTGGGACGATCTTGCCAGAGATTTTGTAAGGCAGTTTCAGTATAATATTGACATCGCACCAGACAGGAATTCTTTGTCAAACTTGAAGAAGAAACCCTCAGAAAGCTTCAGAGAATATGCTATTAAATGGCGCGAGCAAGCATCAAGGGTAAAACCTCCCATGGATGAAATAGAAATGGTCACTAACTGCTCTGAGGGTAACCCTTTTCATTATCTCCGTGCTGATGAGATTGGACTAAAAAGGGGGAAATGGAAGGAAATGAGAATCCCAAAGATAGAAAAATGACAAAGTAAAAGTTAGAAAAATGGAATACCTTTAAAGAAGCATGCACAATGTCATTCATCAAAGTCAAAGAGCTATGGCTCTCCAGCTTGGCCCTCTCAATAGGACCAATTAAAGGTTTTAGCCACACATCTGCTTGACCTGATTTCCTTAAAAGGTTGCCCTCAGCGGGGACTTCAATAATCACTTGCCTCATAGCACCACTCCTACTTGAGGAGCCAACCTCAGCACGGTGAGCAGGTGGGGGAGGAATTGACTAAGGGGGAACAATAGAAGTAGTAAAAACAGCCCGGGGAGGAACGAAAGCAGCCGTAATCGGCAAAGTAGGAGTCACATGCACGGGAGGAGAAAAAGAAGCCAAGGGAGCTTCATCAGAAACGGGACCTAAACTTTCACTACCAAACCCGCGGTCAAAAAGCTGATCAACAGAATCATGAGTAGTAGCGGGAGCATCATCAACATTATTAGGGATCACTACCAGGGCTTCAACAGATTCGGTAAAACGGCGGGGGGACGCTTCTGCTTCATCATCGGAAATAATGCGTCTACGAGCCCGTGGCCTTGTTACCAAGAAACCCTCGTCTTCCTCTTCTTCGGAATCTTGGTCATCAACTATTTTTTTTTCCGATGAAGAGCCCAAAATTATTTCTTGAGCCCTTTCCAAAGAGATATGAGAAGCCGCAACCACCTCAGCAGTAACTCCTCGAATATCAAATCCTAATAGAAAGAAGGATTGAGATAAGTTCAGGAAAAAACAATATGTAAAATAAAATAAAAGCTCTTACCATGAGTTCTTACTTTCCAACCAAAACGTTGGGAAAGAGTCTTCCAAGATCTACCATCCATTGGTGCAATACTCAACAGCTTTCCTACCCAATCACGGAAATTGGGAACATCTTCCACAACTCCCATGGTTGCTAGAAAAGAAAAATAAAATTAGAAAAATCAACAAAATTAAAGAAAAATGTACGAGAAAGTTAGAAGACTCACGTGCAAAATTCCACCTCTCGGGGAAGGGAATGTTCTCATCACCCACTAAACCAATAGTGGAGGCAGCAACAAACCTGGCATACCAGCCACGATCTTTGTCATCTTCAGGGCTAACTAGAACTCTTTTGCTCCTGTCTACTAGTGTAAAAACACCATTGCGAAAGAGTCTAGGAGAATAAAGATGAATTAGATGTGGGAAAGTAAAAGACACACTGGCTATGTTGGTCAAATGCCTCAAACAAGCAACAACCCTCCATATTATTGGGCTAATTTGACCTAAGCAAACATCAAAGAAACGACAGAACTCGAGAATAACAGGATCAATAGCAGGTTTGAATCCTAAGATGTAATTCTTTGATTCGGATTGGGAATAATGATAGGAAAGTCATGACTCCAATGGCAGTCTCTACGAACTAAAGAAATGAAACCTTCAGTGATTTGAGTGGGATAGATATTAGCACAATCTAAGGAAGATACTTGATTTCTAAGAGATTCTCTGTCATTATAGAAAGATAGTTCCGCAGGAATTATCTCCTCTACTAGAGGTTCACGAAGAGGTTCAGAAGATTCCTTACCTCTAGAAGAAAATCTGTGTGAAAGAGAACCTCTAGTTCTAGAAGAAGGGCCAGAACTAGGTGATGGAAGAGAAGAACTACGCAAAGATGAAAATCCTAAATTACGAAGCCTACCTCCTCTTCTGCTCCTACTGGGGGCATTAGGGAAGTTATCAACTATGGTGACCTTTCTAGGGTTAGGGTTTGAAGACATGATAGTACGAGGAAGAAGTAAACAAAGATTCAAGAAATGAATATTTTGTGAACTTTATGTAATAAAGACAAAGAAGAAAACTATATTTATACTGCGAAGCAACCGTCAAAGGAAAAGGTGTAATGATGTAAAAGTCATAATGAGAACTGACGCTTCGTGGTTAGTGAAGCCGTGAAAAAGCCCTAAAAAGCGCTGCAAAGTTGCAGAACCAATAAAAGGGGTGGCACGCGTGAAGAGCATTAAATGGAAGTGACAAATGAAACGTTGATTCTCCTATAGCATTAGTGGTGACAATAATTCCCGTTTTAATGAATTTCACTTCCCAAATAATCAATTGATGAATAAATGGCAAGTGGGGGGACTATCTATATTGGGAAAAATTGAGTTTACATATTAAAGTAATTGGAAGATGACGTGCCATGTCACGTAGACTGGTCAAAGAGTTATGATTGGCAAAGAGGCACGAGTTGCAACAGATACGAGTAGAGGCACATGAAGAGACACGAGCGGTTATTCCGAAGACTCAATGCTCGTACCTATTTAATCCAAAAATCAAGGAGAATGAATCTGAAAGCACAAGAGAGTATAGATACAGTATTTAATAAGCATTAAATACTAAAAACATTAGGGAATCTATGTTGAATCCCAATGATTATGTAACATAGCATTTAATGCCTTTAATTCTCTATAATGACCTTATTATGACAAAGGCATAACGTATAACTTGGAGATAGCTATAAAAGAAAGAGAATGGATCATTTGTAAGGACACGAAATACTATCTGAATACATTAGTTTACTTTGTTTTCTTCTGTTTATCTTATTGTTGGCAAAATCACTTTCCTTTATTCATTCTTTGATTATCAGTAATCCGAGTTCTTCTAAATTAAGGCTTTAACCGAATTCCACTTTTTGGTTAAACAGACCCGATTTAAAACGATATTTTCTTCAGAATCGCTATGTTAGGAAACTTTTACTCAGAAAACTCGATATTTTAGGGGGAAAAAAAGTTTCATTAAAAGGTTTATCTCTATGTAATTTAATAATAAAATTGTTTACCTAGACTTCATTTGTCCAGGCTATAATTTGTCGCCTTCCTACAAAAAATATTGACCTACTAAAGTTACTTATAATTTCATGTTAGCGTCATTTATTTATCTAATAATGTTGATTTGACGAATTACTATCTTGATATTCTAATGTAACTTCATGTCATTTTGTGTGCTGACTTTGTTTTTCAATTACATAATATAATAAACATTGTAATTATTAGTATGCATTTGGACAATATTTACTTGAAGTTGCAAAATAATATTTAAAAGTTTGGTTAATTTGGACATGTAATTTGTCAACTTCAACTTGAAATATTATTTGCAAAATAATGTATGTATTAATTTTTGGTTCGTTATTTATACTTCGAACATTGAAACAGAGAATTTAGAATAAAAAATTTGTTTGAAAAGTATTTCTCATCAAGTGAAGTTTATCATGACATCTTATTGGAGTACAATTTATCTGTACAAATCAATCCAAATGTACACATGCTTCATTTTTAAGCTGAAGATACAATTTCATCTCCTTCTTCTTTTCCATTAATACCACGACAAACAACATATACCATGTATTTTCATCGGACCTTACGTGAATGCAATGGATATAATATGTGCGCAGACTTTACCCCTATCTCATGAAAATAAAGAGGTTATCTCTGAATGATCCTCGACTACGTCACAACATTTCAAAGCAAGTTTGAAAAAGAAAATAGCGATGACTTTAAGAAGTCATCTTGGGTAGGTTCCACATTATAACGAGTCATCATGTGGAGTGTTCCAACTTGAAAGCTCGGCATTTTTGACGACTTTTGAAACGCTCTCCAAAACTTGGAAAGGTAATACATCTCCAATAACAACCACCTTCTTGGTTTCAAGGTCTACTTGATACATTGTTACCCCTGTTTGACATGAATTTGATTAGAACATCATTTAGAATTACTACTAGGTACAACCTTACTTCATTAAGTACAACAAAATTGCTATATATGTCACCTTATTGGAAGAAAAAAAAACAGTCCGGTGTATAAGGCACTTCGCATTCATATAGGATTCGGGAAAGGCATACACCATAAAAAGTGTGACACAAATAGCCTACATGAATGCAACTATTAGTGGTTGCTTTTACAGCTCGAACCAATGACCTATACCTCACACGGAGACAACTTTATCGTTGCTCCAAGGCTCTCATTCTGCTCTAAGGCTCGCCTTACGGACAACATCTTATATATTCCCTCTGATCCACTTTAATTGATTTTTTGGATGTTTTCACACATATTAATGAATCCATCTATTAGCATTAATTAACAATAAAATTGACCATATTAACTTTAATTTGTTCATTGAGAATAAATAAGAAGTGACTGAGAAGTTAGAGCTTACTTTCTATAGTGTGAAAGTTCTTTATATCTTCAAATTAAAATGACGTATAGCAACAAATAGCTGTCTATAGTACACCTAAATTGGTAATCTAAAGACAAGATATATAATCTACATTCTACGGTTCAACTATTGTGTTTCAACACCGAGCAAGTTGGTGTTGACTATATATATAAATTCTCACCGACCATGCCACTCATTCACTACTAAAAATATAGGAATTAGTGACTGCGAAATTTTGTAGCTAAATAGAAAAAATCATTGTTAATTCTATTAAGCGACAACAAATTATCAAAAGATTCTGTTAGCTACAAGCAATTTAGCGACATATTAGTGACAAAGTTCGTAGTTAATTCCATTTTTTTTTTGTAGTGGTTTAGTTTAAACTCGGATAAAAATATATATGTATCGTCAAATCAGTATACATAAATAAATAAGTTAAATCATAGAAGCTATTACTGTTAAGATAATGACCTTTTTTTCCATAAATCAATTATGAGGTCAATTATGAGCAAGTGACTTGACAATACCTTCCATTTTGGAGATATGTTTCTCAACTTTCCTTGCACAACCATTGCAATGTATGGACACTCTTAGCACCACCACCTACACCATATTTTTACAAAGTTCAATAATAAGGCTTCACATTCATATTCACTTTCTTAAAATGAAAATTCCCTTTAATCTCAATCAAAACATATACACAAATGTTGTCCAAACTAACTTAAAAGAAAATCAACAAACATTTTTTCAATTAGATTGTTCGATATTTATGGTCAATTGACCACCCTTCATCGAATAATTACATTGTGTATATAGGTCAAAAATATTAGGTTTTAAAGGTATACAACATATATTGAACACCCTTTCTCGAATTTTTTTCCCACTTCTTTCAAGTTTGAACTCGTTGTTGAGCTTGACTACCAAAGGGGGATGATCTTACACTTATTGGAGAAACATGAAGATTAATTTGGAATTTGAAAACATACCTTAGGCTTCAAATGGAAAGCTAGAGTTGGAGGTCCCACATTAATGACATCTTTCGATCTCACCAAATGTTCATCTTCTTGGGAACTATTCATCAATGGCTTCCTTTCTAACAAATCATCATGATTTCCAAAATCATTGATGCAAAAACAAGATCCTGATCCAGAAGAAGAAAGAGTACTAAAACAGTCTAAAACTTTGCCAAAACTTAGCTTCCCCATTCTAGAATAACAAATTTTTGCCCATATATATATCACCTCTTCTCTTTCTACGGGAAAGAAAAAGTTTAACAAAGACCAATGAAGCTAGTGAGGAAGAGAAGAGAGTCTGGACTACTAAACCATTTTTGTAGGGAGGATAAAGTAGAAGGTAGTAGTTAAGATGGAGGAACAAATAGCGACGGATCCACAATTTAAATTTGAAGGATTTAATATTTAATAATTCTAATAATGGACTTGTTATACTTTAAAAATTATGGGTACAAAATTTAATATTTATTGAATTCTAGGAATTTTCACGTATATATTTATTATATTCTTTAGTTATATTCTAAAAGAAGGGGTAGTCCGGTGTATAAAGTATTTCGTATTCACGCAGGATTCGGAAAAAGATCGCACCTTAAGAGATGTAATACAGATAGTCTACCCTAATACAAGCTTACTTATAAATTACACGGAGACAACCTATTCTTTGTTTATATACTGTGTGTCGAAAATACTGGATTCAATTTAAACATATGGTTGGAAACTCCATTGGTCTCTTGGGACAAAGCAAAAGGCGAAGACACAAGGAAAGCAGTCTAACTGTCTAAGTAGGGAATTTGACATGTGATGTGGAACTAAAAAGTATGTACAATTAGAGAAACAAAATCTCCAACATATTTAAGAGACTTCATGTGATATTAGTTGTTAGGTACAGTGAGAGCATCTATTTCATGTGACCATATAAAAAGTGTGAATTAATTCAGATCAAAGTGAATAATAAGAGAGAAATAGCTAATAAATAGGAGACTTTAAAAAGAATATCCACGAGCTTCATGGGATGTGAATATTCTTCAGAGAAAAACTTATACTTATAATATCGATCTCGTATGAGTAGTGATAATAAATTGACATTGCTCGCACAAAATTTATGTACACTAATATATAGTTATAAAACAATAAAATAAGTTGTTTTCGTGTGATCTACAGGTCATAGGTTCGAGTCATGGAAGCTACTAATTAACGCTTATATTAGGGTAAATTGTCTATAGGAAACCCTTTGAAGTGTGATCTTTTACCGGACCTTGCGTGAATGCAGAATACTTTGTGCACCAAGTTGTATTTTTTAAGATAATCGTCACCAGGGGCGGATTTTGGGAGTGGAAACCTTCACCGATAATAAATCAACATTGCTCGCACAAAATTTATGTACACTAATATATAGTTTGGAAGAGCCATATTAGAAAGAAAATTTAATATGTTTCTTGTAAGCCGCCAAGTACCAGTCTAGCAATAGTATTGGCGCAAAAGGACCGATCCTTCACTCGCTGGTCGTTCGCGAGTGTCATGCCTTCCACTCACTCGCTTGATTCAAAATTACTCACTCTTTTAGTTAGGAGGGTTATTCGTTATTCACTCGTAGAACACAAAATATAATATTCCTAAGCATGTTAGACCACATGTTTCAAATATGACCAAAGAGATAATCGTCACTCAAGCAAAAAAGAAGTAACTAGCTACACTTCTAGTCTTGTATACAGTCAAAGTGTGATCAGTATAATATATTATATTAGAATAATCAATTATATATACCATTTTAAGGTATTTAATTTTCTTTTTGGTGCGCCGCTGGTTATTTTCGTCTTGTAGCACCAAATTCAATTGTTCAAAGTCCAAAGTTTTACTTGAAGTAGTCTCTCCTGTCCCTCCCTGTCGTGGTCAAAAAAGGCAAAAAATTTAAATATTCAGGTTTAAATCTTAAAAATCAGGTTATACATACATATGGACTGGGACAGATATAGTATTATAGTGACATATTCAATTGAATCCATAACTTTTAAACAACAACAACAACAAATTCAAAGAATTCCCACGAGTAGAGTATGTGGAGAGTAAGATGTAAGCAACCTTACCTTTACCCTAGAAGGGCAGCGAAGCTTTTTCCGATAGACCCTCGACTAAAGATCCATAACTTTTGAAATGGAGTATAAAATTTATATAAACCCATAATTTTAAAAATATAATATGTTCAATGTTAAAAACCTTAAAAATTGAACTTATAGAATTTAAATTTTGGATTCGCCTCTACGTACGAGAGGGTATTAAAGAATGTTATACTTATCCCTCTTCATTAAGGTTCCCAATGAGACTTAAATAGTACTTAGGAGCTACTACCATTACCTTAGAAGTTGTAGGTTGAATCTCACATTTTTTTACAGTTAGAACACTAAAAGCTAAGTTTAACTGTATGAATGGAAATATAATTTATTTTTTAAAAAGAAGTATAATTGGAAGTGGACCGATAGCTTAACATATTCGATAAAGCAAGGATTGTTTTATAACCCCTCCTCAAATTACTAATATAAAACGTCACTTGATGTAACAAGAAATTGAAAGAGCACTACAAACAAACTGAAATTAGCTACGAATTTTATTGCTAATCTGTTACTAAATCGTAATTAATAAAACTTTTTAAATAACATGTCGCTATTCTATTGCTAAATAAAATTAGCGATAAACTTTTTTATTTAGCTACAGAATTTATATATGTCGCTAATTCTTTTTTTTTTTTTTGCAGTGGAGAGTGATACCATTTAACTATTTAATTGAGGCAAAGAGGGGAATATTTGGTGGATATAGGATATAAACATATTAGACACATATATAGGGGTCAATGAATATGAAATCTTTGTCTACATATACACAAATTATACCATAGAGAGAAGGGTAGAGGGCATTAAATTATTGAAGGGGCCATTAAACCTCTATTATTGGTTCATTAAAACTTAAGAGTATGTAGTTTTATTATCTCATCAAGTTTAGTGGGTCTAGTTTCTACAGCTAATTTGGTCCATGTGATAATGGTTCTTTGAGAGGAAGAAGACAAACTTATTCAAGAAAATATTCATTGTAATTCATGTTATACAAATGTCTCTCACATGAGCTACCAAAATAAAGCTGGAATTTTTGGAAGTGTTCACTTTTTCAGTTATTTTAGGGTAGATTGTCTATATTACATCCCTTGAGGTACGACTCTTCTTCGGATACTGCGTAAATGCGGGTCCCTGGTGGGCTGCCCTTTTTTCATTTTCAGTCTTTTGTTTTTCTAAAAATGGCATATCATCATCTACCAACATAGAGTCGGAGCCAAGATTTCAGCTTTATGAGTTCTGAATTTTAGAAATGACGCTTTCAAGTTTTAATAATTGGATTCTAAATTAAAAATTCTTTAACACAAATACACTATTTAAACAAAAGCTATTGAGTTATTGGGTTCAATCGAACCTGTATTTAAACTTCTAGCTCTGCCAGCCAAAAGCAAGTGTCCCTTTAGAAGCTAGAAGAGTTTAGCTGTCTACTACAATAACAATAATCTAGTGGAATCCTACAAGTGGAGTCTGGGGACATAGAGACTTTTTGCGAAAGACCCTTGGCTCGAGATGAAGAATAGGAACAAATAAATAACAACAACAATGCCAAGAAAATGATATCAACAATGTAAGAACCGGAGAAGAATAAATGGAAGAAAGCTGTAGCAATAACAATAGCAACAAGCAGTAACACGACAGGCCCATTTATAAAATGGGAATTAAGCACAGTTTCACGACAGGGCCCATTGATTACCAGTTGTATTGTACTTCTTCTTATGCTACACACTTCTGTTTTCAATGTATTATATTTACAGAGCAAAATTAAAATTGAGATTTACAGAATACCAATGTATTGAATTTATATGCAAGCAAATTAAAAATTATACTAAGTCTATTGAAGTACTTCATGGGCAATTTCTATATCTAACAAGCCAATTTACTAGCTTGTTCTCCTCCTCGTGCAAGAGAAATTCCCAACAAAGATCTCATGTATTTCATTTACTGATCTCTTATATTATATTTATTGATTTCCTATAGAAAGAAGGTCTTTAAAACACAAGCTGGAGACATATTGGTCTATATTTCCACTAATGTGATCTTCATTAATGATGGACAAATCTGTTTGGAAGCAGACACTACTAGAAATTCGACAAAAATCGACTAAGATCGATCGATCAACTTTGGTCGGTCAAAAAACCTGCCAAAAAACCGACCAAAGTTGGTCGGTTTATCAAAATATTTTATTTTTTAATTTTTTTTAGAAATCGGCCAACTTTGGTCGGTTTTCTTTGGCGCAAAAATGCGAAAAACTATTTTTGAGTCCCGTGAATTTTATTTTTCAAGAAATAGACCAACTTTAGTCGGTTTTTCATTTAAAATAAATATTAAAAAACCTGATCGAAATTGGTCGGTTAATTCAGCTGATCATTTTAAAAAACCGACCAACTTTGATCGGTAATTTTATTTTTTAATAAAACCGACCAACTTTGATCGGTAATTTTATTTTTTAATAAAACCGACCAACTTTGGTCGGTTATTTTCGTGCGAAAATACAATAAAAGAGTATAAATCAAATAAAAGACAATCTTAAAATAAAATGCACCAATGATCTAGTGGTAGAATAGTATCCTGCCATAGTACAAACCCCAGTTCGATTCTCAGATGGTGCATTTTTTAATTACATAATTAAAATACCAACCAACTTTGGTCGATTTTTCGGCAATATTTTTTTAAAAAAATTTAATTGAACGACCAAAGTTGGTCGGTAATTCCGACCAACTTTGATCGGTATGCCATTCTGACCTTCAAAATACCGTCCACACGTAAATGGTCGCGTTTTGGACGGTTATTGGCCATTACCGACCAATTTTGGTCGATTTTTTTGGACGATTTTGCCCGAATTTCTAGTAGTGAGAGGTCTTTTATCGCATAATTAGACATGCTAATAACGTCGGTTTATCTATCAATCGAGTTGGGTCTGCCGCTCAGTTGCAAATTATGAATTGTCTTTGCGGTAGTTAGAAACTGAAATTTTCATATAACTAAAAGAACGTTCATAATGAGCCATAAAATCAATCTCCCCCTAATATTACTGAAAATCCTCTTTCTTTCTTTTTTCATTTGTGTAGGAGAATGATCATTATATTCAAGAGCAAACTTTATTTATGGCCAGCAGCTAGAAACTAATATCAACCGCTAGCCACAAAATTACAGTATACCTTTTGTAGCCCAAAACTAATTAAAAGGCTAGCCACTGATCCAACTATTACCGAAACACAATCCTTCCTTACATTTCAAACCCAATCTTTACACAGAGGTGAGGTCTTCTTTTTTTCT